TTTCTCTCAAGCAAAAGAACCAGCAAATTATCCACTGTTGTTGAACAGGGAAACCCAGCAAACAACGAAACCCAGCAAACAACTATTCCATCGTGCGCTGAAAGAAGTCATATCCAGAGGTAATTCCAAAGGGCATCTGAAGAAACTTTCACCTTCCAAATGGGCTGCTGAAAGTTGTAATGGGTTGCTGTAAGGTAAAGTAAGGAAGGACTCAGTCTCCCTTGATTTGCCAGAAACCACTCCTTGAATCAAGGGTGGAAAATACTTTGGCAATGGACGTGCATGAAGAAAGGTCTTGGACTGTCCTCATCTTATCTGTGTCAGGTTTGATTAATTCTTCTACACCATCATTATCTATGGTATCCTCCCCTTCGTGATTGCTACTTTCCTCGTCAATGATCCTGATTTTTCTCTTGGTTTCATTATTTTTGCCAGCCATCCACCGATGGCCTCAAATAAGAAGGCAAATTTGTGTTTCATGAGAAAAGAACTTCTATACTGATTTAAACCAGGTTCATGTCTTTGACCAGCTGTTTTGAATCTCCTAAAACAAAGCACTTCTCAGTGTAGTTGGAGGCAAGAACAATAACAGTACTGTAATAAACAATAACTTTATTTATACAGCGCTTAATCATTTGCTTAACGATACGTTATAAGAAACTGCTCAAGTGTTTCATTGTTTCCCAGCAACGATGGTTGGTTCGTGACAAATTCAAAAATATATAGGTAGACATGTAAATAAATGCTTGATTGGTGGTTAAAAATCGGCAATTCAGGCAACTTTGATGTCTTTAGGATGTGTTTGGTACACCTCAAAGTGCAAAATGTTCTTTACATTTGTGCTCAATCTTCCTCTTAACTGTTGTTGTTATGGAGTGGTTTGTTGGTTTTGTATTGAAGAGAATTTAAGGTTGCTATTATTATTAATCTTGTATGCAGAGGAGTTCATTCTTACTGAGATGATGTCATGATCCCAGAAAAAAACAGCGCTATTTTGACTTTCTGAAGTACATTATGGACTTACCATCAGTTTGAAAGATATCTTTGGAACTAAAAAGGAATCTTTCTTTTGTTGGCTTTATAATCTTGGCAACAAATTACTTGAAAAAGTGCATCTAGATAGTCTATAAGATAAGTACTATAGATAGGTACCCTTGTGTTAGGCCTGTAAGTTACTACCAGATTAGCCCTATATTTTTGCAGTGTTGGTGGGTTTTGTCCTATATTTTCAGGGCGCTAAGTCCTCTCTTCCTATATTTTTGGACCTAAAGTGCTTGACACCCTGCAAGCTTGTACTCTTTTTTGCCAGAGGGGCAGCAAGCTTGTAGTTTTGAGCT